GTGTGTGTGTGTGTGTGTGTGTGCGCGCGCGCGCGTGTGTGTGTGTGTGTGTGTGTGCGTGCGTGTGTGTGTGTGTGTATGGGGGTTTGGAATCTCTTTTTCCTATTGTTATCTATAGTTCAAGAAAAAAAGTTGTTTTTTAACACCACTAGATACCCACTTGTCAAACAGTTGGATCCGCCAAATCCCGGTGCACATGTGCAGGAGGATGGTGTATTGTGGGTACATCTGCCCGGGTAGCAGAATATGCTGTCTGGTCGCCACGAACACAGTTCTGGTAGGGTGGAAAATCCTAAATTTGTTTATTGATATATAAACAAAGTTCATCGACATCTGTGACTATCTACCAGTGTAACAAAAATCATCACAACTCACTCCGTCAGCATTGTTCATTTTGATCAATTTGATCCTCTGATCTATTTGAAGGTAGAAGTACATCAACCAAATTGGGTATATACAAGAAGATGAATAACTATAGCTTGTCACATATTTATACTTTACTTTCCATCACATTTTAAATCATATGTGCCAGTTTTCTTTTTTTTTAGAAAGCATATTTACGAGTGCACAGTGTCCCATCGCTGGAGAGCTGGTACGCCTTGTGGCCTGTTTCCCCGGTCATATTGGCACTTGGTGCATCTCGAGTCGCTTGGCCCGGTACACTGGTTGTACCTCTCACAGTTGGCGATGCTCCGGCATGCTACAGAAAACAGGTCAGACTTATACACCAATTGCCTTTGCACAATAATCAAACCTCAACGCTTATCTCCAAGAAGCTTTATTTTAACGTTTTCGATCATTTGTGTTCGATATTCTGATGGTTTCTTAGACTAGGTTAGTTGACGGCTTGGTACTTATGTCGTTAATCTCTGGAAAACTCTTTGTGTTCGCAAAGCCCGTCACTTCTGACAAGTGAACAGGTTCAGCTTACGGTTTGTGACATAAGTAAACAACGACAGCTCTACTTATCTAGAAACCAATATCCTGCACAAATATTGTATGTTACGTTCGCCAGTCAATATATATTGTGTGCGTTTGCAATCAGTCTGTGAGGTCCTCGGTCAGAGATCGCTCTCTTTATATTTTTCAGCAATGCATATATGACAGGTGGCTATTTGCATTTCTGAGTTTGCATTTACATAGTATGAAATTAATCCTTACCGTTGCATGTCGCACTTGGGTTCGGCTTGTACCGTCTGCCTCCAAAGCAAAGGTAGCGACTGTCAGACGACGAGGTCAGATAGTATCCCGGGTGACCAGTGTTGCACCTTGCGTTGCCGTAAGTGTTATGACTCGTGCCTCCACTCCAGTATCCATTCCTCGGTGCTGATGGTTTGGAACATGATCTTGCTGCGGTATGAATGATACAAATGTGGGTTCAGCGAACTACAATAGATTCGGAAATGTAAATAGAAAGTTTTGAAATTTAACTGAAAACATCATTTATCATTTTTACCCTACCTGAAACACGCCAGGTGTGACTATCTCCAGTATCGAGCCATATATCGCTGTTGTAGAATTGAAAGTCGTAGTCATACCCGCCATCGCTTACCGTTACCTGTGAGAACCAAGGACATAGTTACATACAGGTTTCCTGTGATTTTCACAGGAGAATATTTAATTATCGTAAAAAGTGGCAATGTACGAACGTTGCTTGTGCTGTAGGGAAAACACACGGATATCCATAGATTCTAAACATGACATCTTGAAAAAATATAAATGCATGTGCAGTTCAGTGCGTAGATAAATCAGGTACTTGTTACTAAAAAGATCGTTATTGATAGAACACGTCGAACCCCCTGTTCTATGTACCGTTCCTGATCGAACACGTCGAACCCCTGTTCTATAGACTCTTCCTGATCGAACACGTTGAACAACTTGTTCTATTTCGAACACTTCCGGCGCTGAGTGTTCATAGAAAAGTGGGCGGGGCTTATGGTGTTCAATCAGTTCGATCCCGATTGGTCTGTTGTAATCAGCGTCACATCTTACCCTGACTGGATGCCAGGGCGGGGCCCAACCTCCACCACGGCTACGCAAGGTCACGCTCTCCATAATGCCGTACAAGGTGGGACAAGAAATGACGTCAACGCTGCAACGTGAACCACATAGGAAAGTTAACCGCCACTAACACACACAAACACACACACACACACACACACACACACACACACACACACACACACACACACACACACACACACACACACACACAAAGGCACGCACACACACAAAGGAACACACACACACATACATACACACACACACACACATATACACATACACTACACTTACGCGCACACACACAAAGACACACACACACTCTCACGTACAGGTTACACGTAGGTGAAAAACATAATGACTTTTTCAGTATACTTACTCGTATTTCTGGCACTTACTACCGCTGCAGTCCAAGAGGCAAGAGATGGTTGTGGTTGAGCCCAGACGTGCGACAACCATCTCTATTTGGATAAGTGAGTCCGTGCCTGCATGGTCGATGATTCCATCCCCGGCTGTTTCCACCTCTACACGGGTTGCTATAGACGAAAAGAAACAGATCACCTAGGTCTTGGTAACCAACCATATCAAGTACCCAGCACATTTTACGGAGTATGAAATCTTTGATTTTTGTTCCCGTTGCATCATATCTACCATGTACTTCCCGCCGATTGCTCACAGATACATGCCCCCGGACCCCCTAGGAACCTCACGCCATCGCGCTCGCTGGTTCCTCTGACAGTAGGGAGAATGGAGAGTTGTTTTAACAAAACCTCTGTAATTGTGCTTAAACCCCTTTAAGTACTTTATATAGTTTTAAAGATTTGAAGTCCTACCGAATATTTCACGGGCTGTCACTAAAATGACATAAGCCGCCCAGAACACCTGCAAAGAAAAGATATATTTCTGGTCAGTATTCCCCAGACATTGATAGAGTCATAAACGAATGCGCTCTTGCCGCGCTAGCTCTCTCTGCGAGCTGAAATTGGCCGGAGCGCGGAGAGAGCGCCAAGGTCACCATGTTTGTACTGTTTAGACCGCTGTACGCTCTCTGCACACGCTCTCATCGCTCATTGTTGCATCGCCCTCCGCGGCGCTCTCACGGCGACGGTCACCGGTGCAAAACAGTCACCGAGGTGACGGCGCCCATGGCGCTCTTAGCGCGCTCGCAAGGCGACATTGGCGATATCTTGGCGCTCTCTCCGCGCTCTGGCCAATTTCAGGTAGCAGAGAGAGCGCCGTGAGAGCCCCGTTTTAGTGGATTGGGGGCCTAACTGACGCAATCATAATTTTTGTTAGCCTGGGTGCCGTCCGATTTCATGGATTTGTAACGGGGATCGCTCGCCAGAATAATCGCGCTAACCCGGCCCGCGCCGAAGGAGCCCCGTTACAAATCGGATGGCACTCAGGCTACATTTTTGTCCAATTTGTATTCTTTCCAGCCGTTTCAACTACGGAAAAGTTTGGAAAAATCTCACCCTAACTTTAAAAAGGATTAAACTTACATAAATGATTTCATCACTTAACCGAACCTTATCTAACAGAATCTGTTTCAAAGTATCTAGAAGGTATACGAGGATCAAGTTGATTCTTACCTTCTGGCCAGGGATAGGCTTCATGCTGCCAAGAGCGTCTACGCCTCACTTTGAGCTATGATCAGGAAATATTCAGACTGGCTGTAGAGAGCTCTACTAATCTCTATCAGAGTCTATGCATGCAATAAGTGTATTCTGTTCACTTTAAATATAGAATACAAGAGTCACTGTTAGCTCAGTAAACAATATAATGTCGTTACTAAATAACTCTGTAAATATTGGGGTTAGATCAAGGGTCTTTTAATTTGTTGTCAGGGTTATCGTTCATACCACGTCGGAACTTTCTTCCGTGTTCAGGACGGACATATTAGGCCATGTTGATTTGATTATATGGATGACATCCATATAATCAAAACTGACGCGTGCGTGTGAATAAAAAAAATTGGCAAAAAAAGTTTCATTCATTATGAAATCTGCGTGGTCATAAAGGTTGAACAAATGACTGAACACATAGAGTATGGTATGGCGAATAATAAGAGAGAGTCATTTTCATTTCTTCACATTTTCTTCTATTCCTGAATTGATTTTGGCATTCTATGACATTAGTATCGTTTTCGATACTTTCTGCAACATACGACACATGGTCGCGATTTACAGTGTGGTCGATAACTTTTTCTTTTGGAAACGGATGAAAATTCATGCTCGCGCGGATGTCATCCATATACTAAATCAAATCAACATGGCCTTAGTAATAGTGTGTGATGAAGTATCCTTTCTTTCAACTATACTGCGGACAAAATTAACTAAAACATTCTAGGATTGTTTTCGTAAGAAAAAGACACGCCATTTATTACTTGACATGGCTAACAATGGCGTTAGAGTAGATATGTGCTCATCCCGTGGTTACGAATTATTTCAGGGCGTCCACCTGGCTTCAGAAGCGGTTGGAAATTGGCCAAATAGACAGATAACATGCCAGGGGAGTTGGTCCTGTACTCCTGTAAAACTGTAGTCCTTCTTTGGACCAACTCCCATGGCATGTCATCTGTCTCACTCACACACACTCACTATCCAGGATTTGTCTGTTTGGCCAATTTCTACTCTTTCCATCAGCCCAGTCTGACGCCTGGTAGAGGCTAGAATGTTACCTAATCTAGCCTCTACCAGGCTTCAGACTGGGTTGTAAAATTATTCCTACATTGTACCTGTTTGAAGATTGAGTACCAGGTACAATGAAGTAATAATCTTATTATCAATTGTTGCAGTACTTTACAAAACCCATTCCCCCTGCTTTTTTCCTTCACAATTGTACCTTACATGAACTTTGGCCCCAAAGTAAGAGACTCCATCAGTCATGTGACTTTGACAACTTGTTTACGACACACGGCACAGGTACTTTTCCATGATGAAGGGGATTCCCCCCACGTCACACCTGTCAACATAACCAGCATCCAATCACAGCTCACCTGACAAATGTTACCTGCGACACAGACCAATGAGCAAGAATTCAACTGCTGGAAAATGTAGAGGTAGGTTGTGTTATGCAATATGCTGATTCAACAATCACAGTCTATTGTTTAGGACCTGCTTGAACCAAACAAATAAGATGTCACATCCACCCAGTCATCTTTAGCCACTTTAACAACTTTTTTTGGTGCAACTTTTATTAACCACACATGATGGTGACACGCTCAAGTCAACACACTCAACGTATTTTCATGCCACCACCGAAACAAAAGTAAATACGTAGATACATAATGTAGCAGTAGTATAGTAGTAGTAGTTACATGTAGGACATACAGTAATGGTGTATTAATAAATAAAACAAACTTGCAGCACAAGGCTAGAAGTTCTGTGGTGGATGTACAAAGTCGGTACAGTAAGCCATATTACAGCTATGAAATTAAATAATGCCTAATAATTGAGGCTGATAGAGCGATGTTGAAAAATCAGTTGTAATGAAAGTGTTTGGTATCTGTTAAGATTTTTGGACATAAAGTAACATGAGAAAGCAGTATACATGTACATGTAGACTGGAGCTCTGTTAGAACTGTACTAGTAACTGCTTCCAATCTCTATCACACTACCAGGCAAGCCTTGGCAAGACAATGTTGTCATTTATATTCTGGATTAGATGAGTCTAACTCCTTTATGTACGACTGCACATAAATTCCTTATCTGTTGTCAATATGTTTGAAACCCAAAGTGCCTTGAAGAGTCTTACTGTCTAAGCCATCCCTGTACCCATGTTACCACCAGGTAGTCAGGTATAGAATGAGGCCTGGTAGTTTACGTTAGCCAAATTTATTGCCAATAATATAATATTAAGTACCCAGTAACTTAGTACAAGCCTGATCTCCACTTATGATCTATTAGAAGTTATAACGGTTAAAAAAAATTGATTGTAAATACTTAGGAGTTACTGTATCCATTCATGTTCGCATAGACAATGTATCTAGAGTGTTAAAAGGGACTCATCACCCATGTACACCGCATATTAGGCTCGGCTGAGGCCGTCTGAGGTTGGTTGAGGTATTTAGGCAGACCCTCCAGTATAAGCGTTCACCAGAGCCATGCCCACCTTCCTCACCTGAAACAAATAACAGCATCCGCAGAATTAGCGAATAAGGAAAGCAACTGCATACTTTGAAATAACAAGTCTTTGAAACATCATTACAGCACAGTTCAGAAAAGTTCTCTTTGGCAAGAATTTTTGAATTTAAAAAAAGTGAGAGTGAGGTCTCCAACATTGGACATTATACTCAAAAAGCTGTATACAGTAGGTGAGTTTGTTTCTATCGGTAATCTGATAAATATTGGTACAGAGATGTTTCTCCATCTAAGAATCGTGTCACCTAGATGGATGTAAACATTAGTGACATAATGAGGAGACACAAACCTGATCACTCTCTTTTTTCCCGGTCTCGCACTCCCTTGCGAAGGTTTCACAGTTGTCAGACACCAGGTTGTAACTGGTTTCACCTTCTCGGGCCTCTGCATTCTGCACCACCCTCTCTGCCGAGTAACGGCTCTCCTGTGGCCGGTTGTGAATAGTGACGCTGTCATAACGCCCTGCCACCCTGGCATAGCTTTCACTCTTAACCTATAAACAAAAAGTTATCATATGATAACTAGTAGCTGACCGAAAACGAAACTGTATATTGGGTACAGTGTCAGTAGAATTACCATTTCTCCTAAGAAATTACCTTAATAATGCTGAGATCTCTAGACATGCATGTGAACATGAATAATAGATTGCATGTTGATCATAATGAGCCGCCAGGGAAGTAAAGGAATCCACTAGATTCTATCTTGAAATACCAGTATTCACCTTACATCTTTCTCACAACTCCAAGCCAATACTTTCAATTCATCCGCATGTACTACGTACATGTAGGGTGGTTCGCAGGCTTGGAGTTTTCATCTAGCCAAGGTGTCATCAGTTTGTAAACTCGCTACTTTGCACTAGCTCTAAAATCAACCTCTTGAGTGGAAAAGTCTTTAACCCCCAGTCGTTTGGGGGCAATTGGATAACGACCCCTGTGATGATACGAACAATTTCAAGATCATAAAAATACCTCTGATTTGTTGGACTTTCCAGAGCCAGACGATAGATGTGTCCTTTTTGGCCCAGTCTTGTGGATGACTTTGTCGTCTTCCTTATTGTAGATACCGTAGTGACTGATCTGTTGTCCACCCAAGGAGGTTTTGAAACTCTTTGGTCCATGGTCAAATTTCAGAACATCACCGTGATCAGGCCTCGACTTTCCTTTTGCCCCGCTCATGCTGCTGGAGATTAACCAAGGGACTCTTCTCACATGCAAAAACCACACCAGGTATGACAGCTTGTTTATACCATGCCACGTAGTCAGGTTACCATTTCCCGGATATGGGCATTCCCCCCATGTCACACCTGCCCAGGTAACCACCATCCAATTACAGTTCACCTGACAAATGTTACCTGCGACCACAGACCAATGACCAAACAGTTAACTGTTGCAGCTTCCTTCTTTCTGCATGGGAAATGTAGAGGTAGGTTGTCTGAAGCAATATGCTGATTCATCTAGTCCTATTCATGGATGATGACATGTTTAAAGGGCCTTTTAAATTACTGTTACCTACTTAGGCTAGGAAATAGTACTAGCTGACTGAATGTTTGCAGTCAGCAGGGTTCACAAAGACACAGTTAAGTTTCACAAATAGGAAAGAATGGCCAACAACGCAGAAAATGAAAGTAGAAGAACACACAAGAGTGATCATTAAACACCTGTAATTCTACCTGAAGGCTGAAAACACAGTCTATAGACTCCGGAAAAAGCTTCCCAAAATTTCCCATTTACTCTGCAGTCATAGCGTGCCTGGAAGTTAGAATGTAACCTACATAAAGCTTTCTTAAGTTCACTTCCTGAAAAACAGGTTGGGACAGTTTATCCTCACTTCGGGACAATTGAAATTTATTTTTGGAAGAGTGTTGGGACAATAGGAAAAAGTGAATTTCAAGGCCTGACTAGTGAGTAGAGACTTCTGTTACATATCAGGGATTCTCAAGAAAACAATTAAAGTGCCTGTGATACCAAAATTGTCTTCTCATCAGTAACAAAAATAGTGGAACTCAATGAACATAAAGATACCACACATACACCCTTTTGATGGTATTGAATATTGAACCATAAAGAATCACACTTCCAGCTCAGGTCAGCATTCCTGCCACCAAGTCTTGAAAGTTCACCTGGTTTAACTTGTAGATAAGTGAATTTTGTTTCAAAACATGCATGTTTTTGCTATCTATAAGGCAATGTTAGAGTGCTACTTCAAATTGTTGTGTGGTGTTTTTTCAGTACTACTTAGTTATCAAGTGAGGTCAGTATGTAGATACATTCAAGTCTTTAGTTTAACTTGACATCATGACACTTTGTTTCAAACAATATTTTTTAAAAGATAGCACATACATACAATGATACATACATTAATTTTGTTATTCAACTGCTAACCATGTTTACTGTAAAGCCTGTTTTTCATGAGTTATTCTAGGATGAAAATGACTACAGCACATTCAGCATATTTTGTACATGTATACATACTTATAGGAAAAACAAAGAGCAATGGCAGAATAATATACACATTATATTTACAGTAACTGTAGTTATAGAACTTTTATATGAAATCTTTTGTGGTCAGATTACAGATGATGTGTTTATGTTTTGTAATACATGTACAAGTATAATTTTGCTCTCAAATTTTGTTTCACTTCTCAATGTCAAATGCAAGACTGCCAAACAATGCTACATGTATGCCCTTGAATGTACCAAAGCTATATAACGTTACCCCAATTTTGTACAACACACATTACTGTAAGCATAGTTTGAATGTTCTAAGTATTCTAAGCATATGTTCTTTATCTATTTATGTGTATTTTTTTCTGTGTGTGTCAATAAAGCTGTCATTTAAACGTTCATACAGTCCATCTAGTCTGCAAAACTTGCATGTTACTTATTAGGATGTTGCCTACATATACCAAACAATATCATATATATTACTATGTATACACATCTAACATTATGCCTTGTGATTGACAGTTGTGTGATCCATCTCTTCTTGAAAGTTATTGTCACCTGTTCTTTTCACGGTCGATGAAGCACATACACATGTTCTCCCTTCCCATGAGCAGTACAGCGCCGCCCTCTGGGTGCCATCTCAGGGACTGCACTAGGAAGGACGCTATGAGGGAGACAAAAATCCAGATCAAAAGATTGAGAACATTCTTTTTTTTTACTTCTTACTTTGTACTTTATGAAAACAAACTTTTATCTTGTATGTTTTTTTGTTTGAACCATTCTTATTCATGAGAAGCAAAGATCTGCCTCCAGGCCACTTTTCATTGAGGTTATGAAGAAAGAGGTAAGGGTCAGACAAAATATGTAATGTTAACAAAGATACAGTTTACATCATTTTAAGTCCTAAGAAATCTAAATACACGTTTTTAGACATATGTAGTACAACATACAAGTCCACATCATTTGAGTTCTTGATATCTTTGTTGCTAAAAAACGTAATAAAAAATTTGAAGGTCAAATGTTGACTCTCACCTTCGACAGGTACATCCACAGACAAGGCCCCTGCAGGTGACCACATGTAGACTTTGTTGGTGCCTGTACAGAAGGCTAGTCTGGGCTGACAGGGGTCCCACTCCACATGTTTGACAGGCGCTGCCTGCAGCAGGATGGCCACCTGTGCCAACTGTCGGATGTCCCAGATCCACAGCGCACACGGCATGTTGTCTAGGAAGAGGGAGAGAGGGGTAGCCATATTACTTTAAGGGTAAAATAAGGTACAGTCAAACATACCCAAGAAGGTCACCCAGGGAAAGGTCTTCTTGGACAGGTGGCCTTCTTAGGCAGGTCACTTACTAATGCTTGCACCTGTGCCCCCCAAAAACATGAGCACTGGGAAAAAAGTGGTTGTTATGAACAGGTGGTCAGCTTGAAGAGGTGGCTGCTTGGGCATATTTTTGACTGTACATTGTAAACTCGGGCAACAGAAACTATTTCCTTTCTCTTAATTGCTTTG